AAAGTGGCAGTACAAAGGGCATCTTGTGTACAGTCAAATATGTAGAAGTACAGAACTGTACCTTTTTGGGAACAGTCTCATCAGCTATAGGTCCACGGCACTTTTTAGCTGATCATGCACACAGTATCTTTGGTACAGTAATGGAGCAACTACAGAGAACCTATGAAGCTTAGGTCCAGAATATTCAGAAGACATAAATACCCTCGTGCCAGTGTAGACTACTTTGTTTATTATTTTCCTCACTCTATTCCTGCCAAAATGCATCTGCTTCATTAATACGTAAAACAGTTTATCTTTTCAGAGGCACAAACCCATCTTTGAAAGCTCTGCACCCCTCAAGCAGAGAAACAGTGGGCAAAGAATAGTACAATATCCCCTTTAATTTTTTTGTCTTCTTTTTTCATAGGGAAACAGCCTGTTTACCTCCACAATGAGCCACACTCACCTTTTGCCAGAAGCCATCTAGTAGATGGTTGAGCTGTCCCATCAACTCATCTATCAGTTGAGTTCGGGCACAATCCACCTGGTTGTAGATGGCAAATTCTTCACTGCAGAGGATACAGTAAGTCCGGGAGGAAGCCTCAAGGACAGATATGTCAGTGTGTTTGGTCACAATGTCTTTTACCTCTCTCAGCAAAGCATCCAAATGCTGCAAGTGAGAAAAGGGGTATTATAGGTAAATTGTACAAAAATCCACTTACACTTTAGATACATTTCACTGGGTCCATGTATTTCTATAGGTCATACAGCCAACATGAAATAAATGCCAGCCTGAGGAGCAGAGGGGCAGGATTAGAGGATACAACTTTTTCTCTGGGTTTATAGCTCTTTTTCATTATTATTGTCTCTTCATCTTCCGAAAGAATAAAGCAACTGCTTGAAGTTCTACTTTAGCAATACATAGTTGGCATTACATAAAAATAGTCAAAGGTAGGGAATACAAAATGCCTTTCCAAAGGACAGGTGTGTCTCCAAATGACGGAAGTTGTCTCCCTCAGCAGCAGAGGATGGACAACATTCCAGATCATGTCAACAAGTGGGTTCTTCTCTCTTAGTGAGAGGAGGCAACTTCTGCCATTCTGCTGACTCCCTCTCTTCCAGCCAACCTTTAGGGCTGAAATTAACCTAGGAGTGTTCGCCTAACATTACCTCCCTGCAAACATCCCTGCTGAAGAATACGTTAAGCTATTTCAAGGATTTCATCTATCCATTTCTGACCACCCCTCTCCCACCAGCAGATACACTATCTCCATTCTTATCTTTCAGTGACTGTCATTCCCCAGCAGCTGGGAGTCAGTCTTGAAGATGAATGAAACCTTTTCTGCAGTGAAGTCCTGGGAGACGCTAGCTCAGGCACACTCCAGCATAACCCACCCAGGGACAGGCCTACCACGTGAAACCACAAATCATCACCCGGCAGGGCCTGTCACAGCATATCAGAACTGACAAGCACTACGGCTTTTCTTTGGCAGCCTCAGTTGAAAAAAAAGAGCCTGCATAAGACCACTTTCCTCAAGGTATGAGACCATTTCTTTATGTTTCAACAGTCTCCTACTTGTTCCAAGTCAAGTTGAACTCTGTACACTGTCACATAAATTTAGTACATTCCACACGAACCGACTACCCCAATTCCTACTCACCTTCTCGAGATGTCCCGTACTGTAAGCATCTAAATCATAATACTGAGGAATCTGCAGAAGATTTGCCACTTTTTGTGCATCTGTTGAATACTGCAGAGAAAAAACAGGATATGAGTACACTGCAGGAATTTTAATGAAATATTAAACATGCATTCACAGAGCAGCTGTTAGTTACCTTTGCCAAGAGCTGAGGAAGCACCATAATAAAGTGCTCAGTAATTTTGGTACAATCTTCCAATTGTATTTTCTTCTCTTTTACTGACAGAATCTGCAGATAAAGCATTTTGTTTCAATTATAAAATCCCTTAGATTTCAGTGGAATTTCACATGTAACCCAAGGTTAACTCACATGCCTTTGTCTAAAGAGTATCAAGCTGAGATAAAGATACTTTTCCACAGAGACAACCAGATGCTTTTTTTTTATTTTTTTGTTAACCTTAAATCAGATGCAAATCACTGAACAGCTACATCTCGTGGATAAAATGCTCACCATTTGTCAATAACATGCTTCAACTGACTTTCCTCTAATGCTCATCTCCTTCAACATCCACTACTAATAAGCACTAGAGGTCAAAAGACACCGTGTTGTTTCATAAAAATAAGCCATTTTATTTCCAAAGATACACCTACCACTAGGAACATGCTGTCTGGCAAAGCACGTAAGACAAAGAGAATGCGATTTACAGGACAATAAATAAGACTAAAATGCACTGACTTTTTTGGCTGCACCTCTGCCCACCGGAGGATGACCTTCAGCTGCTTCTCTAACCGTTGCGAGGATAATTTCAATGAGAGCATTTTCATGGGCATCACTCAGTGCTGTAAGTAAATCAGTCTCCTTTCAGCATCACAGAAAAGAAAAATGAAGATGCAGCAACAGCTAATGTAAAGCCTACTCATTTATCTGAGCAACTGTGGAAGGACACTACAAAAGAAAGATGCGGTGTTGCTAAATAAACACCAGGAGAGTGTTTGATTTAATTTGAAAAAAATTATTTTCTACATTCACTGAACAAGAAAACAATTATTCCTCTCATGGCCAAATTTTTTAGGGCAGCTGGGCTCCCAGAAACACAGGTAGTTTTAACAAGGCCTACTCCTACTGACTACCATCTCATTTAAGACAAATCTGCTTCTTTGAGTACCAAAATGCTTTAACTCACTGGGTCTGCAAACTCTGATTTCAATCACACAACCACCTCCAGTTCTACTACAACAACTATTCATAGTCATAGAATGGTTTGTGTTGGAAGTGATCTTAAAGATTTATTGAAGTTCACTTGAAAGTGATTCTACAAAAAACTAAACCTCTGGAGTGTTAAAAGTCAATGAACTCAACACACTCGGGCATGAACAGTAGCCCAACAATACTGCACTTCAATCAATTCTGTAAGGTTTTGGACAAACAAACAAACAAAGCAAATGCGATATAAGTGTTACGGCTTAGTTATGCAAGTATCCTTGCAAAGTTTCTAAACTGACGTTACGTAAATGCAGAATGCAGACTAAAACAAATGTGTTGCTACAAATATCACACTGGCAGTGCGCTGAGTTCCATCTGCTTTGTGGCCCTTGGGGACCACAGTTTGGGATCAAAGGGTGCTGCCATATGGAATGATCCTAAACTAGCTGAAGGCAAAGTTCAAAAAACAATATCAAGAGACTCATTCAGACAAGACTGAGCTCTTTGCTTACCCACCTTCTCCACCTGGTTCGGCACTTTTTAATAGAAGAGTGGTCATGCACTCCCAGTCCTTCAGCAATTTGCCAGCCCAGTCCCACAAGCTGTCTATGAGGTATGCAACATGTCTGTGCAGCTAGGGATTAAAAATACCACCTTTTAGGAGCAAAGTATCATTAGAAGAAATACAGCTTCATATATTCCTCTCCCTTTTTCCAATCGCAAAGCTTTGTCATTCACACATATATGCACACACAGTATTCCAACACACTCAGTTTGAGGCTAATCAACATTTAAATACTGTGTCTTCAATGTGATACAAAGCAGGAGAGTGAGGGACAAAAGAAGGAACAGCAGGAAAAAAGCTTTTCTCTTCTTAGAATACCTTTCCTTTGCAATTTAAGTAACCTCTTTAAAACTAGCTTCTGTATTGCTTTTATACTGATGATCCTAACAGCTAACAATCCAACCCTGGGACTAGAAAGGAGTCAACTTTTTAAGCAATGCCTGTGAAATTTTTTGCGGAAGGATTCGAAACTGCTGTGCCTGAGACGCTGTGGCCAGGCGTAGGTCTGTGCCACTGCGAAAGCCCAACAGTGAAGTACAGCGCTGGAGCTGATGAAACTCTCAGCAAAACCACGCAGTTCTTGAGCGTAGAGCCATGGTACAGCAATCCCTACCCGCCCGCAGAAAGGCAGGGACACGTACCAAAAGCCCCTCGCTCAGCAGCACTAGTCTTTCAGGTTGTTTTCAGAAGCTGTTTCAGCACTGATTCTCTCCATTAGCATAGTTGTAAATGAGTTTTATTACAACAGAACAGAAATGTCTTCGTTAAAATCTCAACCTAGGCAGCGAAAACATCCCAAACACCAAACATTTCAGAGCTCACGACCAGAAATAGCTTTCAAAGGGAGGCCAATGCCTGTTTTAATATGCAACATTGGATTTAAAAGGCTTACTGCAGGGGCTCTTCTCCTCACCTCGCCCTCCAGGAAAAAACGTATTAATCTTTTCAACTGGTCGGTACTCGCCCCAAACTTCCCTCCTCCTTTGGGCTGAACTTCTTCATCTCCCTCATGACCGAGCAGCCTGCCAACAGAAAAGAGAGTCAGTCCAGTTCTGCCACACTCTCCCCATACTCATTTGCCAACGTAACACTAATTCTGTCAAGATCCCAAGGATTGTATTTCTTCTAAACAAAAAGTCTACTTATTTACTCCAAATCACATTAGACTTTTTTTATCAGATGAAAGGAAAAGAGATTAGATTGTTTTCCATTATGAGAGATCTGCTATCCCTGTGGATGCAGACTATTTCTGATGGTTTCACAGGTACCCTGCGCCAGCTTTTTGGAAAACAGATGCAGATTCCACAGCGCTGAACGTATAATGAGGTGGGCAGTTGTTCATGCTTGAAAAGGGGCTTGCTCTAGGCTGAATTTAAAACTTAACAACAGAGTAGAGGTGTTACTACGCGACCATTATTCACATCATGGTACATTTTGGAACTGAAGCTCCTTAAAGAAAGCACAGTGTCTTGTGTTTCTTGGAGGCAATTTACTCAACTTCACAAATAGAGTGGAAAACCTGTTCTGCCTGAAGCATGAAGTACAGTATGACATATCCATGTTCCTCTCTATCCAAAATGAGTGTGACTGTACTGCTTATGAAAAGTGCTAATCCCAACATAAATACAGGAAGGCCATCCCCACAGGTTCATGGAAAGCCCAAATGGCTTGGATTTAAGAGCAGAACCACCCTACTCAATGTCGGCACTTTCAGAAAGTGCTTCTGCTGGTATAATTTATACCAGCTAGTAAGTAACCTAAGTTAAAAATACAGACATTGAGGAGATTTCATGCAAACCAAGAAGGGGAAAAAAAAAAGCATAAGCATTTATACTAAAAGTTTTAGCAGTATGACCAGGAAAAGGAAGGTATCACTAACACCTCTATCACACTAGAGGAATATTTCTATACTAGCAAAAGCGTCGGAGAGAACTGGGAAAACAAAACAAGGATGAGGTTTATGGGGTCAAAGTGTCTATACTGCACTGGGAAGCTGGGTAGAAAAAGTAAAGTTATCAGGGTGACCACTTCAGTGGCAAAAAGCCACAGTGTTCTGAGAGGAAATACACCTGATTTATGACAAGAGTATTAGGCCCAACACAAAAGACTAAGCAAGACTAGCAGATGTGACAGAAGACTCATCAAAACAGAAATGTATCTCCATTTGTCTTTCTGTTGGACTTGGCCGCACAAACCCCAGAACGTCAGCAGCTCGACTAGATAGGAAGAGGCAGCTAGGAGGAGATTCTGCACGTGTGAGAAACACAAATCATTATTATTTCTGAATTTTTCCCCACAAATGGCTTGCCAAAATATTTTTATTGTCATTCCTCTTTGTAAGGCAAAATTATTTCTCTCAGCCGCAGAGACAGAATATTTATTTCTTCTCTTTTTAGCACGCCAGCTCCACTCACTTCAGGCACCCATTGTTGTAAGAAGCCTATTTATAAGTGTTACTCCTGGGGAAGATAAACCCTGTACTTCATTAACCTGACAGAAAATTGGGAGGGCTTTTTAATCTGCTGCATCTCTCATTATTCAAAGCCTTTACAATGTATAAGGCAACTTCCAAAGGGAGAAGAGGAGGCCATTTTTGTGATTAATCACCAAAGCTATGGAAATCCAGCAGATGCCAGGTGATGAATTAGGTTGTAAGAAGTAAAGCAACAGGAAAAGAAAGTGGAAAGAAAGGAGGTATGCTCTCAACATAGCATGGCATCTGTGGATCAGTCAGTTGTTTCATATTCTCTGTGTTAGTCCTGCAACTTTTCTCATGCCTATTGTGCCAGAGCTGTGGAGGGGAACAAATGATTACCCCCAGACAGCATTTCTCTCCTGATTCAGCGGAAGAAAGCACATCCACTATCCTCGTGACACACACTTCCAGCAGAAAAATGAATGCTTAATGTCCTCTTAAATAAATCCACCTTCATTCTGAAACAAATGAGAATATGCAAGAAGCAGGCAAGCAGGCAGGCAGAGATACCTTTTATAAAGGAATTCCCCAGCTGCTACTGCAAGCGGACGGTGTGTGGTATAAACAAACTGGTATAAGGTTTCACAGTCTTCAGCTGATAACACAGCCTCACAGTTCCTAGACAAAAATAACAACGGAAGTTAGAGTTCAGGTTTATCTGCAAAGAATATTATGAATGCTATGTCCAGCCTTCACTAGACCTGATTCTCCATAGCCGTGCAACTTGTTTATACAGCTAAATTTTTGTAGGACATGTCTAAAAATGCTGTTAAACAAAACTGGCAGCACTCTTTTACTCACTTTGTAGAGAAACTGGGGGGGGGGGGGGGTGGGGGGGGGCCAGCCATGACG